TGATGCCGATCAATATCATTCTATTAACCAAAATCTTATGGCTAGCATAACTCATTAAAAATATGAACATTATTACCTCCCCCCCACATCATAAACAGAAAAGGAATGTCATAAAGGCTGTAATTTTGTCTGTCTGACAGATGTAGATGTGAATTTGTACATCTATTTTCCTATATTGCATATAAAGAACATTCATGGTTCAGAAAAAGTGGTTCAGACGGGCAATTGTTAGTCCAATTTAATCAACAGTATTTACATACATGATGACTTCACAAATCCCATTGATTCAGTGAGGCTACTCTACTTGGGACAAACACTGTCCAACAGTGACAGACCTTACTGCTTTTTTTCCCCCAAAATTATTATTATCAATGTGAACACACACAGCGTAGAAAAGTAAATGTTGTCATTACAGTGCAAGCTGCTGTTTACTCAGAAGTAGGTCCTGCTCTATGGAAGACAGGAGGGCCTGGCGTGCTCTGGCCCATGGGGTCACGAAGAGTCGGACACGACTTAACAACTAAACAACAACAAAGTCCAGCTATGTTTAATGGGACTTTCTTCCAGAAAAGTACAACGAAAGTCATTTGAAACTAGCGGTTCTCTGGTAGACTGTAAACCTATTGACATCTTAGCAAATGTTGCGTTAGTTTGGGGCTTCTGTAGGGAAAGGTCATCCGTAAATAACAGCTTCAGCTGGAATTTCATTCTACAGTCAAACCTTCTAGGGCTCTCCTGAAGATTCAGAACACAAGCAAAAGAGAGCGAAGGCAAACTCTTGCCTGCAGGTCTTCAATAAGAAACTCCTTACTCGGAAATTCTTTCCTTACAACTCACATAAAAGATCAAGTGGAGAGGAAATTGATATGGAAATATAAATGACAAGATAATACTGCGGCCAGGTAATTTTCAAATATGGATTGCTCTGAAAGGGGGTGGTGGAATGTGGCCTCTGGGCACATTTTCTAACAATTTAATTAACAATACCATCTGCAAGCCGCAATAACGAGAAGTTCAAACATTTCTGAGCGTGAAACAGACAACTCTGAAATGAGCAAGAATTTCGTTTTCTTAGTATCTCCCTTTAAGATTGCAGTCTAGACGGTAGAGAACGATGAAGAAGACAGCTTCCTAATTAGCTAGACTCATGCAGATGAATTTAAAATAAAACAAAAACAGATACTTACGATGTTGATCATGAAAAAAAAAGAAACAATTAACCGTTTGAACTGGGTTCCTATCTGTTTCTTTTTGTAGCAAATTTCTTACCGACATGTCATATGATTTATAATGCAATCGCAAATGTATCCCTGTTCACACTAATGATATTTCTAGCAGCAGTCATGATGACGATGACACATCGTTAATGTATATTGGTGGTTATAGATAATACCATAAATTCAGTCACATGGTTTTCTCAGATAACAGAGGGCCTAAAAGAAATTTCAAAACCCATTTCAGAAATGGTTTCTGTTTGGGTTGGATAAAACTGATACCTCTGAGGCTGTACTCATAGGTGTGAACTCTGTATTTGTATCCGTGTTTTTGGAGAGACCACATGAGATTTTACTCATTTTTTCTGAAAGTGGGGCAGAGTAGATGGGACAGTCGTTTCAGTGACTAAATCTCCAGTCTTAATGTAACATTCAACTGAATTGCTTCTTTCAACTGTTGTGAAAATTACTCCCAGGACTTACAGGCTAGTGCCCATTTTCGTCTCAAGCAAATGAAACAAAACTTTTGTAGGAAAGAAGCTTTGGGAGTTTTGCTATAGATTTCCTGTAGTTGTGTGATTAGCACATGATAGCTGGTAGAGCGATGGGGTGGTATAGTGGACAGATCATGGCATACGAATCCAGGAGACCTGGGTTTGAATCCCTGATCACTCCCGACAACTCACTGGGAAAGCCAAGCCTTGAACATGTATGTCGGAATTGACTTGGTGGCGCATGGCAAGAGTGTTAGAGAATCAAGCCATTGGTTTTATCCCAGAAGGCGCTTCCTCTTGGCCACTTCGTTCAAGTTCTATGGAAAGGCCTTAATCCTCACTGACTTAAACATAATGTTGTACAACAGTTGTGTTTTGCCCTAGGGGAACTGCGGAAATCAATACAGCCAAATTCAACACCTTCATGAAATATTTGCAAAACGGGAGACCTGCCGAGCTCTCTGAGTGAGACCAGCAAAACGTTCAGCGTGTTTGACTTTGGCTGCACAGGTTAAGCAAAAACAGCTTAAAAACAGCTTAAAATTAACATTTTCCTCGATATACATTTCCTGGTGTTTTTAGTCTTTCTTCTGCTGAGCAGACTAACACCATTTCTTCCTAGAAATGACAGCCTTAAAGACAGATACATATTGTATATTACCATGCCAATTCTCATTTCTGGCATTTTATTTAAAAAGAAAAAAAGAAATAATTCTCCTCTCTGCACCCCCCAGTTCTCGGGCCCCTGAGTAACCAGAACATATTTTCTAAAATCTAAATAGTGAATCGCAAATGTGACTCTGAGTTTTTGCTGCCAAGGACCAGTGTGATCCTAATCTGCAATTTGCTTCTGCAGATAATGATGCAATTTAAAAACAAGGGATGTCCAGGGCTTATAAGGTCTTGTGAATGAGAGTACACATTGCAACCAACATTTTAAAGTCAAAATAACATTTTGGAATCTCAAATAAGATGTTTCCCTTCCCTAACAAGGAAATGGGATACAGTCTTCTTGGACAGATCATAGAAAAAGAGGTGACTTTTCCTTTATTGCTCTGGTATCCTATATCCTTGGTCCCTGATGAAGGAATTCACGGTACAATGCTATTTGATGTTCTCAGCAGCCCAGAGTGACTTGCCAAAGGTCACCAAGAGAGGTCAAAGATGAAACAGGATTTGAACTCAGGACAGCTCAGTACAAGTCCTACTGTTACTCAACTATTAGATCCCACGGGAACATAAATTGGATTGAAACAGTACATGGACTTCCATTTGCAAACCATAACTTCTATCTTTCTCCTTCTTCTACTAGTTCAGTCCAGCCGCAAACTGCACATCAATAAATGTATGGAAGAGGTCAGACCCAGTTTCTGCTGATAAATGTTCTGGACCAGAAAAAAACAACACACAAATGCTTACTGTAAGAAGATACTCCTGGGATGTTTAAGTGGAAACAAAGACATCTGATTCTCTTAACTAAACCGTGTGATCCCACTTGATCAACTGTTTCTATCTAACAGGTATTCTATACACTTGACGATCCTAGCCAGGTCAAAAAAACCTCTCTTGTTCTTTCTTTCGTGCACAGTTTGGGCCTGTTTATTTCCTGCAAAGGTATCCGGAACCACTGTCCCTCTTCACGTTACCGATTCCCAATAGCCATTACTGACACAGATGAGAGATGAACGAACTTCACATCTCCCCAAAACTTATAAATAAGGCACAGAGAAGATTCACAAACACACGCCACATTTTTTCTTTTTAATCTCTTAACTTGGGTATCCAAAGAAGGAAGAGGATGAAATAATAATAAAAAACCCAGCCCTGCCTGTCAGTATCGGAAGACTTTCTCTTTCCCTCCCAAGTTGGGTTTGGGCCACTATAAATCCCACTTTCCCCAACATTATTGTACCGGTCCATTCCTGCCGCAAGAGAAGAAGAATAAATGGAGAGAGGGAAGGATATTTTTTACTATGGGTATAGACAATAAAAACGGCCACCAGACTCTCTCTCTCTTCTCGGCTGTCTTTGCTTGGAGGAAACTCTTGAAAATAACAAGGCAGCTTCTCTGTTTAGAGACAGAAACTTTAAAAGGGAAGAATTATTTGCCTAGCATTGAGTGGGTAGGAAGGAGGGTTTATCAGAAATGATAGAAGTCAGGTTTGGTTCTAGCAACCAGTTGAGCAGAATGTGACCTCCACCAACACCCCCTGCCAGACTGAACACTGCCAGCAAAACTCATTTGCAAAAGCAGGCAAGAGCTGGGGGGGGCACGGGGTACTTTCTCGGGCGAATGGATTTGCTCCTTGGCCTCCGGCTGCCAGTCCCTAAGGCAAAGGAACCAGAACCTAGCAACATTATTTTCTGGATTGTTACACCCATCCGCCCGCCAGCATGGGGATTCTGGGGGTTGTTACCCCAAAAGCCAAGATTCCCAAGCTCCGGCAGAATTGTCCCTTCGTCCTTGTCGGCGATGAGATCCCACCTTTCTCTTTCTTGCATTTGGAAAAACTGACGGACAAATTTCGCTCTTCTCCTCTTCGGTGGAATTCAGCAAAGAACAACTTTAACCAAGCCGGCACATCTGCATTTCCTCGGCGTTGAACTTCTTTCCTGCTCTCCGAACCAAACCAACAATACAACTCAACGACCTGGTTCCTCACCAAGGAGCAGCTGGGAGCTGTCTTTGCTTGGACAGCCCTCAATGTAACTATTAATTCTGGGTTCGCAGATGAACTGTGTTGCACTGGCAGGCTGGATAAAGCAAAGTATGATAAAATACCACCACACATCTCTCCCTCCAGAAGACTGCCTGAAGGCCCTTCTCAAAGAAGGCTGCAGCCAGCCCAAAATACTTAAAAGCTTAAACAAGGCAATAAAAATCAAGATCCAGCATTTTTGTGTGTGTGTGTGGGGGGCGGATCTAAGTATCTAGAGATCAAGTTTTGGGGGGGGCTTTTGTTTTCTACTTCTATTCATCCCCTTCTTTTATCAAATCAAATATCTGCCAGTTTCCAGCTCCTACTGCTATATAGATAATTTCCATAATTATATATATAATTTCCATAGATAGATAGATAGATAGATAGATAGATAGATAGATAGATAGATAGATAGATAGATAGATAGATAGATAGATAGATAGATAGATAGATAGATAGATAGATAGATAGAAAGAAAGAAAGAAAGAAAGAAAGAAAGAAAGAAAGAAAGAAAGAAAGAAAGAAAGAAAGAAAGAAAGAAAGAAAGAAAACAAACCAACCAGGAATGCCATCGGCGGGGGCCTTCTTACCGGTGCAGGAGTGGAGAGGTTTGGGTCTCACGATGAGCGACGGGCAGACGGAGTAGAGCGAGAGCTTCTCAAAGTAATCGCACGTCTCCTTAGAGAGGATCTCGTCGATCATGAAGGTCTTGTAGCGCCGCCTGGCTGCTTTGAGCTGCCCGGGGGAGGCGAGCCGGACTTCGGCTTGGCAGTGCATGACGACGCCGGGGCCGGCGGTGGAGGGAGATCGGCGGAGGAAGGAGGAAGGAAGGGGGGATGGGGGGGGAAGCCCGGTGGCGAGTGAGCGGCTGAGCCCCAGGAGGAAAGCAAGGCAGGCAGGCAGGACGCAAGGAGGGAGGGGAGAAGGGGAGAAGGAGGGAGAGTGGGCGGGAGGGATGGTGGGGGGAAGCCACCCAGGCGGCGAGGAGAGGAGCGGTCCGGTGCTAAAGGGGGTGCAGCCGGAGGTGGGTCAGCAACTGGCAGCCGCGGAGACCCAGCGAGCCCTCCCTCCCTTGGCCCGTCCGTCCGCTCCCTCGGCGGCGCCCGCTGGCTGGCTGGCTGGCTTGCCCGGCTCCTTCGCTTCGCCTGCCTGCCTGCCTGCCTGCTGCGATCGCTCTCTGGATCTCCCCACCTCCGCCCGCCGTCTATTTAAGCCGCCGGGAAGCGACGCGGCGAGCCCTTTTTGAGGACACTCCGGCTGTCAATCAAGCGCTCCTCGCCTCATCCCCAGCGTCGCGCGGGTTCGAATCCCCGCGGCGGAGACATTAGGCGTCGGCGGCGGCGTCATCATCATCATCATTACCGCCGCCACCACCATCATCATCATCTTCATCACCTCTCTATTTTAAGCTCCTCGGGTGTGGATCGCCTCCCTCCTCTAGTTGGAGCAGGGCCAAAGGCCGAGGGTTCGGGTTGGCGAGCGGGGGTGGGTGGGTGAATGTTAATTCCCTTCCACGCCTCCTCTTGCGGTTCTCCCTCCTTGCTGACGTCTGAACCCCAGCGAGTGACAGGAGCGAGGGAAAGTCCTACAGATGCCCTCAGACAACGCAGTACCTGAGCTAAATGCCTAAATCTAAACAGTCAGGTACTTCACCCCTTTAAGCGGCTGGGCATCTCCGTCACCCCCTCCTCCCCATCTACCTTGACGAAGAATTCAGGAGAACCCGAAAGCTTACACACTTTGGTGGCATTTTGATGTGTCCTAATAAGGGTATTGCCTCCCAAAAATAATAATAATAACAATAAGATCACTCCGTTTAGACTCGGGAACAAACCCTGCTCCCCTGATCGATATAATCGAAGTTATGCACTTGTACAATTTAAGGCTACAGGGAAGTAAGTGACATGGAGGCCAATCGTGTTATACTCTCGAGGAAACCTATATAGATGGCCCGGTTCCTCTCGCCCACCGTCACCGACCAAGACGGCCAACTGCCAACCACGCGCTGAGGTTCCTCATCTCCCTGCGCTCCGTGGGCTTACTTCTGAGTAGGACCATGCGCGCTGGCGGAAAAATTCCCCCAGTGTCGCCTGCAAGCTTGCCTTGCGCGTCCGAGCCCGTATAAAACGACTTTGACAACTGTGAACTGTGTCTGCTGTGCCCACATACGGTGTTCAAATAATTCCTTTAAGTTTACGGAACTGCCTTTCCCGTACAGATTCTACGACAATCCAGGCACCCAACCGCTAGCGTGTAGAGAAAAGGACGTTTTGCTTGGGGACAAGCGGTGCTAAACTTAACAGCTTTGTGGTGGTTTTTTCTTCTTCTTTAGAGGTCGCCCTTTTAGACGCGTGTCAGTGTGCGCAACGCAAACCACAAGGAAAAACAAGAATGTTGCGCCACCTCCGAGAGGAACGGATTTATTTCAGTGTAGATTTCCGTGTCTTCTGGTAGGTCCCGCAGGGTTGACCCGCCCAGGATAAAAGACGGCAAGTTTAGGATTGTGGGGATGATGAAGAACCAGTGTTGTACTTTAAAGTTCGATTTTTGTGTATCGTTATTCTGTTCTTTTCTGTTGTGAACCGCCCAGCGTGGCCCTCGGCCAAATGAGCGGTATACAAATTGCATAAATGAATAAATAAATAAACTCCCCTGCTTCAAAATGAAAGTCGATCTAAAAGACCTTCCAATCTAGGGATGCCCAACCTGGAACCGAATCTCGCTGCCTGAACAGGATTTTACGCGAGCAAGCGTTTGCGCCTTGAAGTTCCCCGTCGGCAAGAAGGAGGTTGCTTACTACGGATTCTTCAGAGTTTTGGAAACGTTACATTTGGGAACGCCGACCTCCAGAATAACTGGGTGGCGGATTCCGGCCGGCGTTGTCCCAAAAAGTAACGCCTCCAAATCCTTATCTCGTCTCCGTTCCTGACCGATAAAGCTACACCAGGAGCGCACCTCGTTGTTTTTCCGCTCCCGCCTCCAGCTTCCTTTGTTTCTCCGGAGGAAATCCGTTTCTTCCGAGGAAATCCCCCGTCGGTGCGGCATTGCTGTTCAAAAACTTTTCCAACTTTCTCCTCTGTTCGTCCCGTCCTCTCGCACCTCACTCCGTTTTCTAAGTCTGGGGGGGAGAGGCTGCCCTCTCAAGACGCAGAGGTTTCTAGCAATTGAGTCGCCGTTTTCCGCCTTAAAAGGCAAAAATATGCACTAACGCGACCGTTGCGAAGCTGCTGCACACACACACATCATTCCTTCGTTTTGAGTTCACGATGGATGATTTCTTCCTACATCTGGTAGTTAATGCTTTCCCCTTCTCTTGTTTTCAGCCGAGTCTTACCTATCATTAGTTGTGTATTTTATTGATAGAAATTCATCGTTCCTGAGAGTTCTTCCAGAAAACCCAAATCTTCCCATTTTTCATCCCAGACACCTCAAAAATCAAAACGAAACCAAAACCTCCGGGCAAACCGCCTCCTGCATTTTATTTAGCCGGCACAATGCTTTGTGGTCGTTTACTGTATCATTCATATCCATGCACAAATATATAGCCTATACCTCTACCCCACCTATGTGTCTGTATGGAGATATATAAATATAAATACCTAAAAACATAAATTTATCTCCACACAGACATATTTACACGGAATATGCAAATAAGCCTTTGAAAGCAGCATCAAAAATATATCTATTTATATATATTATATATATATTCAATAGATATATTAAATCTATTATATCTATTTATGCATTACAGGATCGTGATCCTGTAATGCATAATTTCGGGACTCGGGCCCATTGATTTCAGCCAAGTTTACTCCAGAGTAGACCACCTCAGTCTAACGGGACCGTTCTTTGTAATCTTAGACGCTGCTATTAAGGGGCTGGCTGGCTGTTGACGAAATCTAGGGCTTTTGAAGTATTTGTACTATATTCAGCTTTATCAAACTTTCCGTTCCGAGGCAGAAAGAAAGAAAGAAAGAAAGAAAGAAAGAAAGAAAGAAAGAAAGAAAGAAAGAAAGAAAGAAAGAAAGAAAGAAAGAAAGAAAATGTGCAAAAACACGAATTCAGACTTCCAGTGAAAACATGTGAGACCTTGTGAGAAGCGTTACTTATATCGACCTTCGAGTTTACTTGGGGGAGAAACAGATCGGAGGAAATTCCCACGTCACTCATCAGTTTTCCGCAGCTCTCAAACATTGTTTCTTTAATTCATTTGATGTCATCCTTTCCCCTCTGAAAAAGATAAATTAGGCCAACCGTCCTGGATCTATTCACGTTGGAGCACAGCAACTCTGAGTAGCGGGAGACAGACTTGTTACTTCTAGTCTATGCTTCATTTAGTTGCAAGCGAGAACCAACGCTGTTTACTCCCAGGAAACGGCATGAAGGTTGCGGATTTCGTTTATAAATTCCTTGGAGACAGGAATGTTCATTTTTCGGGGGAGGCGTCAACTCCTCTGAGTCCAACCTTTATTTAAAAGTTGTTAAATAAAATAGAAGGACAATATGCCCTAAATAGGAGGATTCTATGAAACAGCCTTCAAAATACCATATTGCATTCTCACGCTTGTTTTCCCAGGGGGCGGGGGTCTGTGGCTTACTCGCGAACAAGTCTAGCATGTGAATCCCTAGGAAGGCAAGAAATAATGCGATTCCAATAAGAACAACACCCGAGTCTGTAGTGATGTCTTGGGTTCTGGCGTCAGTTACTTTTATTATTATAGCGGTTCGCTTGTGGGATACCCAGTGTGCGGCAGGGACTGAATGATGGGCTAGGGACGCAGCAGGCCTGGGTTCGAATCCCTGCTCAGGCAAAGAAACTCCTTTGGGGTTATGGAACTCCTTAAATATCTCACTTATCTTGACATCCCTGTTAGGGTAGCTGGAAGTTGGGTTCCGTCTTGGCGGCTCAAAACAACGACAGAGGCTGTGCTTAACAGCGCATTAATACTAGTAGAGAAGTACTGAGAGGTGAGTAATTTGTGAGTACTGAGAGGTGAGTAAGTTGTGGGAACAACTCTGAGCGCCATCCTGTAGGCAACACATTTCGGAGAAAGAAGGCGGCGGGACTGGCTTCTGAGTAGGATTGTCAAGGACTAGATTTCCACCATGGGAATCCACTTGCTTTCCATTAGGGAATGAATTGGTAACCATTACTCTGCTGGGACAATCTTTTAGCCCCGTTAGTTCCTTTTTATTTAAATGAGTATCTCCCATCCTATGATACCCGGGTGGGTATCTGCGCGTATATCTCTGCGTGTAATTATGCGGGATATAATAAATATACAGGCAGTTCGGCGTATGGGTTTCTCCTTCGAACTGCCGGTATATTTTGCCTTTACGGACCTACTCAGAAGGCTAATCTGGTGACCCCACATCCAGGTGGGGGAAGAAAAAAAAAACCCAACCCGGTTTAGCAAAATCATGGAATGGGGATTGGTGAAGAAATATTGGCTGAATTGAATCGGGTTGGATGCCCTTAAACTCACCCGGACGCTTAAAATGTATTGCGCCGCTCTAAATCTCAAAGAAACCAAACGAACACAAACGCATTTCGTTCGGTTCAATTTTTTTCCCCAATGGAAAGCAATAATTTTTTATATATTTTTTTTATATACTGGTATTTCATATATAATGCCTGGAAAAAAATGTAACCCAGCTCAGCACTAGAGGAAAGATGGGACAAGCTCGAGAAACAGTAAGGGTGGTGTAATTTCGTGAGCTCAAACACGGTATTCCAGGGCGAAATGCAGGCCAGAAAGCAGACGCTTAAGGACTCAGGAAAGACTGAGAGCCTAAGGTCTATGCTGTGGATAG